TGAGCAGCCCCATGCATCTCCCAGAGCACAGGCAGCTCAGGGGGGTCCGTGCCGCTGCCCCGGTGGGGCATTGAGGAGCTTTGACAGATGCGTTATGGAAACTGCAAAGTGCTACCCGGAAAAGCAGCTACGTGTCACGGAGAAGTGGGTGCTTTCCAGTTACCATCAGCAGCCGTGAGTCTCTCCTTGGCCTGTCACTGCTGCCTTTGGCCTGTGATGCTTCCCAATACAGCAAGACTTAGAGTTATCGACTCTTTCAGCAGCTGGGGAGAGCAGATGAGTGATGGGAGAGCCCCCACAGCGTGCCTGTACTGTGGCAGCAGCTCCCGGGAAGCCCCTGGCCAGTCCCACTCCTGCCTTCCACCTCCAGGAAATTCCTGCCCAGTTTGTGGCTCCCATTTTCTTCCTCCTGCAGCCTGATGCCAGCATTATCCCACCGAGGGCTCCTTGCTTCCACTCAGGAGACAACAAAACCTCATGGATTTTAGTCCACGTAAGCAATACCAGAATCTGGCTGAGTTTCCTGGACCCAGGAGAGGAGATGCTCACCCTACAACAACACCCTGTAGAAGTGCAGAGAAATTGGAAGGCTCAGGTCATTGCAAGAAGTTTGGCTGTTTGAGGTTGTACCTCTGAGTCCCGCACCAACGGAGCAGCCAGCACCTAAAGAAACTGGGGCCATCGCATGAGAAAGAAGCGAACCTTGCTGAGGGTGGTTGGAAAAGCCCATATAACCACCTAAACCTGAGTGGAGCTTTGAAGATGAAGCATCACGGGGGCTTGTACCGTTATCCCAAAGCAGCTGAAGGGTGGGATCGGAGGGGCCGTGCTGAGCCGGGCAGGGCAGCACTGCTGACCGTGGCTGGGGTCTCCCCACAGCCTTGGAGCCATCGGCTGCGTCTCCTAACGCTCCCTCAGCTAGAGAGGAAAGACAGACCCGAAGCCTCAAGGGCTGGCACATCACCTGAGCCGCAGTCGGAGGGGAGGGCAGGAGCAGGGCAGGAGGGGAAGAGCTCATCCCCACCTACAAGCGGCCGTCACCGGTGACGATAGACACGCGTATCCCAAGGGAGGACTTTAGGAACTCCTTTTCACGCCCTCCGTGCCAGAGCAGGCATTTCACAACAGAGCCCAGCCCAGGGCTGCCTGAGCAGGGTTGAACACCTTCCACCAAACCTGGAGCAGCCCAGCAAGGTGGAAAACCCTTCCAGATGTCCGACCTGAGCACGGACACCAAGGCCGGCCATCCCACCTGCCCTGGATCAAGTCTCCCCCCCCCAGCAGCGCTGCTGTAACCCCCCAGCTGCTCCCAGCCAGGCTGTGCTCTTGCAGCACAAGGACAAGGTCACCGCAGCGCGCGTTAAGCGAGCGCTGCGAGCAAGGCATTGCCCCGGCTTCGCCGCCTCTGCCCTTGCCGGGGTGCAGCGGGGCCAGCGGCCACAGGGGGAAGGCAAGTGGGAGCCCGGGGTGACCCCAGTGTAGGGGCTCACCATCACGCCCACCCAGGGCCAGCGAACTGCAGGCAGAGCAGGCAGCGGGGTCTGCTGGCAGCCCCAGATGCCCCCAGAATCAAGCGACCAGGAGGCAGAAGCCAAAGCGGACAGGGACAAAGACAAGGCTACAACGCAGGTCCAAAGCCCGCCCTGAAGATCGTGCCAAACCGAGGACTCGCCCCCGGTGCCAGCATCCACCCAAGGGACCTACCTGGGGCAGGAGATGCTCGCAGGGGTGAGGTCCAGCAGGACATGGCCAGGAGCATCCTTCAAGGCAGGACTAGTACCCCCAGCTGAGCTTAAATAACCTCCTGGGCCCATGGGTGGGGTGTAGGTCCCAGGTGAGGCTGCTTAGGGCCGTCAAGGGATGGTAGTGCCCATGGGAAGATGGCAATTTGGCCCCGCAGCTGCCCAGATGTGGCTTTACTGGTTGCACGGCAATGCCCAGCTGGGCTGTACTGGGGGTGCCACAGCAGTCACTGCCGAGCCTGGTGCACGCTGTGCGTTCGTGATGGCCCGCGGTGCTGAGCACTGAGGTGGGGTCCGGTGTGGCGATACGTATGGAAGAAACCATGAATTGCTCTTGGCCTAACTCTGTCCGTGTTAGGGCTTCTCCCTCGTGCACCAGGGAGTCACCTCCGTGCCTGGCAGATCCCTGCTCCTGCCCTTTCCTGAAGGTCTGAGGACCTGCCACCAAAATCACCCCTCAAAGGCTTGGAAATTACCCAAAATATCAGCACGAGCAGGAGCAGCGCTGGGCATCACTGAGCATCCCTTTGCTGGGGCTCAGGCCCAGCTGCCAGCGCTCAGGATTTGTGCGCAGCCTCTTGCTAGGTGTGAGCAAGACGTGCCTGCGAGGACAGAAATTAAGTTGGTGTCATGTGTAGCCCATCCCCACCCAAAGCGGTTTGGTCTCCTGAGTCGGGACAGGCCTTGAGATGGCGGGTTTTAGGTCAAAAGTTGGGTTTTCAACCCAGAAGTCCGAGGTTTGGTGCCGCTGGTGCACGAGGGATGTGGTTACAGCAGGTTGAGATGGCACTTGTCGCGGGAGGGGATGGCGGGGCTCTCTAATCCCTGCGTTCCTGTTAGCAGCTGTTAATCAGGGAGGTTAAAAAACAGCTTCTCCTGTGGCTCGGCCAAAGTTGCCTGTCCCAGCTACCCTAGCCTAAAAATGTGTGCCTAACTCCTCCTTGGTTTCTTCTGCAAGCTCTGAGTCTTGTTAGGGCTTCTGGGGGGCAGATTAAAGGGATCTTTATTTCTCCAGGGATGCTCTCCCATGGCATGGTCTCAAATGCTGTTATCAGACCACGTACCCACCTTCTGCCCCTCTTCAAGTCTGTCCCTGCTGGGAAGAGTTTCAGACCTCAAATCTTTTTTTTTCTTCATTGCCCTCTGGGGTCCCCACGGGGGATGGAGGAGCGGGTGGCCGTGATTCCTCCCAGGCCGCCTGCATGGGGACAAAAAGCCCTGGGTGCCGGTGGCCGTGTCCCAGGCGGATGCTGAGAATGGCTCTTTGTTCCCTGTTTCTAATTGCTGGGCCGAAGCAGCTTGTTAACCACTCTGCCCCGTGCTCTCCCATCCCTGCAGCTGCTGCTTGGGGGGAAACCCCTCGTGGGGGCATGCCAGGGCTCAGCCTCTGGGTGCGCGTTTTGGGGTGACACATAAAACCGGCTCAAAGCGAGCTTGGGGTGAAGCTGCCGGTGTTACTCATCTCTTTATGCAGCCCGTGGAGGGTTCAGGGGGTGCCTGGAAAGGAGGGTTGTACGTGGCCAGAGCAGACATCCATCAGCAGACATCCAGACGCTCCCCTGCAAACTCCGTCACAGTTTTCTCAGTCGAAAAACAGCCAGCTGGCAGAAACCTCTAAGGCTTTCTGGGAGCCAGGGACAGTACCAGCCCCGCCATCCATGTTCAGTGACTTTGGGAAGCGCCGGAGGACACGCAATTTGCTCTGAGCCCAAAGCCTCGCACAAACCTAAGGAGGGTTCAGGGCTGGGGTCCTTCCCACGGCACCCCGACTGCCCCGGGGCAGAGCGCAGCCCAGCCATTCACCCCCGTACGTAGAGATCTAGGAGCACAATCAGCCCTTTGGGAAGCTCGATATGAATGATTTAGAAACAATTTTTGGGCTCTTTCATGGAGGGAGCTTGAATTTGCATTTGAAAACTGCGGAGGAGCTGGCGGGGGGACGGGAGCACTGGCCGGGTGCTATCAATGGGAAACTGTTCTGTCTAACGCTCCTGGGGCCAAAAAATGTGAACTCTGCAGATTTCTGGCTCCGTTCATGGTCAGAATTGCTGGCTCTGTTGTCGGTGCCCGGCTGCTTCGCTCCCAGCTCTTAATGGCTCTGCTCGGAAACTAGTTTTCCTTTGCTGCCAAAGCCGACCGGGGTTTTGTGAAAGATGGGGTGGATGGGGGTTGCCCAGGATGTGAAACGGGGGGATTCAGCTCACTGTATTTGGGAGCTGGGAAGGCTGTTCGTGCTCTCCGGTCCTTATCAGCCTGGGATCCAATTCGCAGCAATTTCAATGCTAAAGTCATCAGTTTGCCTTTGCATTGGGAGCGGAGCTGAGGCCCGATGCACTCGTGTCACGTAAGACCCCGCTAGCGCAAGCCTGTGGAGTCACCGCCTGCTTTGTGCCTGCCCGCGTCCCAGTCCCAGGCTGCAGCGCCCCGGGAGACACCACCGTGGTTAATAAATGCTCCTTTTTTTTAATCCTTTCTCAGCCTGTTTCACACCACTGACCCTTTGCGTCAGTGGGGTAACCTGCCCCCAGCGCTCCCCCCTCCACCCCGCCATGCCCGTCCTTCGTCCTTCCTTGCCAGCTCCCATGGGTGCTCTCGCTGGAGATGAGGCCGTTGGGTGCGAGCATCTCCCTACGTCTCCTTGAGCCCCGTGGAAAACGAACCATCCCCAGTTCAGGCGCAGGCAGTGGCAGAGCGCAGGGATGCTGGGGGGGCCACGCAGGGATGCTGTGGAGAGTAGGGGCGAGCTGGCTGCGGCAGCTTGCCTCGGCGTAGTTCATGCACAGATAAAACCCCGGAGAGCTTTGCACTGAGCTGGAAATAATGGCATTACAAGCGCTTGCTCGCTTCTGGCTGCTGTTTGGGTTGGATGAGGCTTTTCGGGGTCGGCTGAAGGGCTGCAGCACGTGGGAGTTTGCTCCTGGTTTGAGCACAGCTCCGGGAAGGTAAGTGGGGAAGGCTCCCCGGGGCACAGTGGCTTGTCAGCGGAGCACAAGATAGGGACAGGGCCCTCATGGTCCTCACCTCCATCCTGGCATCCCCATACTTGCCGGCATCCAGAGGTTTGCACCCTCAGAGCATCCCCTGCGTGGAAAAGCCCTGTTCGGGCTGCATCCTCCGTATCCTGGTGTGGGAGGGACAAGTCCCCTGGGCAGAGAGCAGAGGGAATGGGGAGAAAAAGTAGGTAACTGACAAAAGCTGTGTGTTTTCTTTTTTTTCTTTCTTCTTTGCCCAGGAGAGGCGTGAGGGCTCACCGGCAGCATGCCGCTGGTGAAGAGGAATATCGAGCCCCGGCATCTATGCCGGGGGGCTCTTCCTGAGGGGGTGACGAGTGAGCTGGAATGTGTCACCAACAGCACGCTGGCTGCCATCATCAAGCAACTGGGCAGCCTCAGTAAGTCACAGCGCAGTGACCCCAGCGTGGGATGGGGACGGGGTGGTGGGATCCTGGCGGGACGCCACGGTCGCTTGCTCTGGTTCCAATGACAGAGAAATGGGGGCTACGTGAGAGCCGTGCAGGCCACAGCCACCTCTAATTTCATGGGAATTATCCAGCTAATAAAAAAGGGAGGGTGCTTATGGCCAAGCCCAAAGTGGGGACTTGGTGGCAGCTTTAAGACCCGTTTTCCTCCCATAGCCAGTCTGTGCAGTGGGGGACGGAAAGCCTTCGCGAGCCCCTTACTTCTCAACTTGGCCAGAAATAGGAAGGTCAGACAAAGATTAAAAAAACCCAACCTATTCCTTTTAATCTTGGAGTTTATGTGAAAGAGAGGTCTATATAAAAGGTCTAAATACTCAGCTGTCTTCTTGCCCTGGGACTGCTTTCAGCAGAAAAGGGGAGGATGAGAGCATTAATAGGGGCAACCTATTTCACTGCTGAATATCAACTTAAAATAGAGAGAAGAACAGGCTCTTCAGGCCTCCTCCTCTTTTTCCCCCTCCAGAACTAGATTCTTCTCTAAAATAGTCCCAGAAAAATAAACCTTGTATTTAGGGAGCTGCTGGAAGCACGGCAGCCAGCGTGAGCAGCACCCATGGGTGCTCAGGCCATGGCTACCTTGTCCAGGAGAAAAGGAATCAAATACAAACGGCCGAGCCAGGTGACAGGCTGAGCAGATAGCAAAAACACCTTGATCTCAGGAGCTGTTTGGAGGAAACCCCAAGGAGCTGGGGTGCTTGTGCTGGGATGGGTGCTGGGCTACGATGGGTGCTGTAGCCTGCCAGGTGCCCCGCTCAGCCCTGTGATAATAACAGCCCTAATAAAGTGCTATTGTAGCGATGCACTGAGTGCTGCAGGAAAATAACTGCTAAAGAGAAACAAATTGCAGCTTCTCCCTGCTGTAGCACTCTCCCTGCTCCCCTGCTTTCGGTTTTCCACCTTCAGGGCTGGGTTTCCACAGGTCATGTTGTGTGATGGTAGTTTTTTGGCTGCATCTGTCCTGGTAGATCCAAAAGCTTCTTGGGGCACAGACCACGACGGTTCATTGCCTCCTGTGGGTACCACTCTCACTGAAAAGGATGCTCGTGCGCAGACGAGAGGGCAGGAGAAAGTTGGGTCGTTTGTGCTCCCCATCTCTCCATGCAGCACTTTGCCAGGTCTAGGGGAGGATGAGGCTCAACTCCCAAAAACCAAGGCTGGGGAGAGAGCCCCACGAAGCTGGTGGGGAGGCGTGGGGTCCAGGGGACAGGCTGGGAGAGGGCTGCCACCCTTGGATGACAGGCGCGCCTTGCCCTCTGCCAGGCAGGCACGCGGAGGACATCTTCGGCGAGCTGTTCAATGAAGCCAACAGTTTCTACATGCGGATGAACTCGTTACAGGAGAGGGTCGACCTGCTGGTCATCAAAGTGACGCAGCTGGACTCCACTGTGGAGGAAGGTGAGGGGCTGGGGCTGTTTTGGGGTGACGGCCAGGCGCGAGTGAGTGGGAGATGTGTGCTCAGGGCCGGACCACCCACTGCGCCCAGTTCAGGGGGCTGAGGTCACCCCTGCATCCCATCTTCTTCCCGTGCCCCCAGTTTCGCTGCAGGACATCAACATGCGGAAAGCCTTCAAGAGCTCCACGGTGCAGAACCAGCAGGTCGTGTCTCGCAACTCCATCCCCAACCCAGTGATGGAGATGTACCAGCGCTGCGACAAGCCCCCGCCACTCAACATCCTCACGCCCTACAGGTAGGGCAGCTGGCGCATCGCTCCTTGGGGGGACTGAGGGGGTCCTGGAGGGTCCTGGGGGGCCCTTCCCAGGAGAGGAATCGGGGATGCACCCCATTTGCTGCTTGGTGGGGGCTGAGAGGCTGTTTTCTCCAGTTGCTGTGCCACCATCCTCATTGTGTGGGGTGCTTGGGACAAGTGAGCCCACGCAGTGGTACAGCAGGTAGTGACCGCCGTGTTGGACACGTTTGTGGTGGGGAAACAGCTTATGGCCATGATCGTACCGAACGACCCTGTGCAGGGGAAGGGGGGGTCTTCTCCTGTGGCTGATAACTCCTTCTCCTTCCTCCCCACCCCCCCAGAGATGACAAAAAGGACGGCCTCAAGTTCTACACCGACCCCTCCTACTTCTTCAACTTATGGAAAGAGAAAATGTTGCAGGCGACAGAAGATAAGAGAAAGGAGAAGCGCAGGCAGAAGGTAACGGGCAGGCAGGGGACACCGGGTGCTCCCCCCCCAATTGTGGTGGGTGCATCTTGCGGGGCTGGGTGATGCTCCCTGGGTACCGCTCACGGTCCAGAGGAGCCTGGCTGGAGATGGAGCCGCAGCTTGTGTGTGCCCCCAGGAGCAGCGGCTGGTGGAGGATTCCACCCGGGAGGTGAAGAAAGTGAGGAAAGCCCGCAACCGGCGCCTGGAGTGGAACATGATGGCGTATGATAAAGAGTTCCGACCCGATAACAGGTTCTCACCATCCCCCTATCACATGGCATCATCGGAAGGATCACTGTCCCCAGATAATAGGCAGGTTTTACCTACTACGCGTTTAGCTCACTGGCTCTCCTTTGCTTTTCTCTTCTTCTCCACCTTTGGGGGGATGTGCTGCCCAGAGTAGGGTTGGGGTGATAAGCCATAAATCCATGGTAGCTTCATGGACAGCTCGTGCCCCCAGGGTCGCATCCTGGACCTCAGCAGCAGCCTTGGTGTTGGGATACAGTCAGAGCACTTTCCATTTAGGAGCTGAGGGAAGAGACTGGCTCAGCTCTGTTGGCGTCCACCTCCCTGCCACTATCTCTCTGCTTTCTTGTCCATCTGTGTTTTTGTGGCCATTTTTTGTTTTGTTGTCTCACCTCCCAAATACCCCCAAACCCGTGTCCCCCTGCCCCCCCCCGCCCAGCCATCCCCCCTCCCAGGAGTACGACCGTTGGGTTTTCCTGTGCTGTAGATCCTACGCGTCGGACGCGGCCGACCACTCGTACCCGGCGAGCCCCAACCACCCCGCACAGCTGCTGGCCCCGGCGTCCCACCTGGCCCCGGCGGAGCACAAGGAGGGGGTGCTGGCAGCCGCCCCCCCCCAGGAGCATGTCTACCGCCCGGCGCCGGCAGCGGGCAGCCGGCAGAACAGCCTCAACCGCCTCCAGCAGCCCCACGCGCCGCAGCCGCCCGAGGCCATCCTCAATGGGCCAAGACCTCACTTAGTCAAGGATTACGGGTAGGGCTTCAGCCTGCCGCTTCTCTCCTGCTGGAGGGATGCCCAGGGGAAGGGGGGCTTGGTGGGGCTCTGACCCCCCCCATTTCTGGGCTGATGGAGCGGGGAGAGCCGCCGTGGTCCGAAAGTGCCAGTGAGACATGAGGACAAATCAGTCAGGAGCACTTTTGGGGTAATCTCATCCCAGATAAGGGGACAAGGTGGATGGAGGGGACTGTTTTCCCCTGGGCTGTTGGCTGCCTTCCCACCACCGCATGCCCCATAGCCCATCTCACCGGCAGAACCCCCCCACCACCGTGACCATGGGACAGAGCTTACGCAGGGGTCCAGAGCAAACCAACCCACAGCTGAGACAGTCGGGTGCCCGGGATGGGTGATGGGTGCCCGGGATGGGTGCTGGGTGCTGTCATTTCTCATGCCGCTGACGTGACTTTGCCCTCCCATCGCAGCCCACAGCCGGTGCCG